TATTGACAGCGTGAATGCACCTGGTCCACTCGCTCGTTCAAAAGCAACTCAAAGAGCATCACAGCTAACCAACTTCTGTGGGCATTTTGCATTTGTCTCAATCCCTGAACCCAAGAAAGTTGATGAAGCCTTCATGGAACCTGAATGGATTCAAGCTATGCAGGAAGAGCTTCAACAGTTCGAGATGAATAATGTGTGGGAATTGGTCAAGCGTCCTGATCCTCGGAAGCACAATATCATTGGCACCAAATGGATATATCGCAACAAGCAAGATGAGCATGGTCAAGTTGTCATAAACAAGGCTCGTCTTGTTGCGCAAGGTTACACTCAAGTGGAAGGAATTGACTTCGATGAAACATTTGCTCCGGTGGCAAGACTTGAAGCCATTCGCATACTGCTAGCCTGTGCAAATCATCACAACATTCTTCTGTATCAAATGGATGTGAAAAGTGCTTTTCTCAATGGAAAGATATAAGAAGAAGTATATGTCACACAACCTCCATGCTTTGAAGATCCAAAACATCCTGATATGGTATACAAGCTTAACAAGGCACTGTATGGCCACAAACAAGCCCCTCGTGCTTGGTATGACACACTCAAAGACTTCCTGAAGAGCAAAGGCTTCAAACCTGGTTCACTAGATCCTACTCTCTTCACAAAGACATATGATGGTGAACTATTTGTGTGCCAAATCTATGTGGATGACATTATCTTCGGCTGCACCAACAAGAAATACCGTGATGAATTTGGTCACATGATGCAAGAGCAATATCAAATGTCCATGATGGGCGAGCTGAAGTTCTTTCTGGGTCTCCAAATCCATCAACAACGCAACGACATCTTCATATCTAAAGAAAAATACCTCAAAGATTGCCTGAAGAAGTTTGGAATGCAAGACTGCAAAGGATACACGACGCCAATGCCAACCAAAAGTCATCTGGGTCCCGACAACAATGCTAAAGAGTTCGATCAAAAGGTATATCATTCCATGATTGGTTCTTTGCTTTACTTATGTGCATCTAGGCCAGATATAATGCTTAGTGTTTGCATGTGTGCCCAATTCCAAGAGGCACCAAAGTAATTGCATCACTTAGTTGTGAAGCGAATTCTTCGATATTTTTCTTACACCCCAACACTAGGATTATGGTATCCAAAGGGCTTAGAGTTTGATCTAGTTGGATTCTCAGATGCTGATTATGTTGGTGACAAGGTTGATCACAAGTCCACATTAGGCACATGTCACTTTCTGGGACGATCTCTTGTCCGTTGGTCTTCGAAGAAGCAGAACTGTGTATCTCTCTCTACTGCTGAATCTGAATACAATGCTGCTGGATCCTGCTGTGCTCAGCTTCTCTGGATGAAGCAAACTCTCAAAGACTATGGTATCCATCTGAAGAATGTGCCTCTCTATTGTGACAACGAGAGTGCCATCAAGATTGCCAACAACCCAGTTCAGCACTCGAAGACAAAGCACATTGAAATTCGTCATCACTTTCTCAGAGATCATGTTATGAAGGAAGATATTCATATCATTCACGTCAAGACATAAGAACAGTTGGCTGATATCTTCACAAAGCCCTTGGATGAGAAAAGGTTTTGCAAGTTGCGGTGTGAGCTAAATATCTTGGAATCCTCAAATGTCCTGTGAATGGACACACATCCTAACACTTATGCATTTTAATGACTTAGATGTGCAACACACGAAGTAATGTATATCTTCAATCAATGAAGACATACACTCTAAGTGTGAATACCTTAATGCGGAATTTGACACTACTAGGGAAAAGCCTAGCAGCAGTGTGGGTTTTGGGTGTATCAGTAGCGCGGGTGCACGCGCTACTGATACGGCACCACAGCTAACTTGTAGCAGTAGCGTGTGTTGACACACGCTACTGCTATACATGGTTAGCTGTAGTGTGCGTTGCAAACAGCGCTACTGCTAATTAGCTGTAGCGGGTCTTATACCCCGCGCTACTGCTATTACTTTCAAAAACAAAAAAAATCTCGATCCCGTGCGTGCTGTTAATGGCAGCAATGGTAAGATCTAGCGATGATGGGCATCGCCGGAGGCATGCACGGACAACGGAAGACCAGATCCAGCAGTGGCTGTTGGAGAGGGCCCATTTCTATGGCAGAGCGAGGCCGCGGCGTGGGGCTCCTCTTCCCGACCATGCCAGATAGCTCCGGGTCATCCATGGCGACGACCTGCACGGGCATGGACATGGGAGGGTGAGTCAAACCAGAGGGAGAGAGAGAAAAGGAAAACCGAGGGAGAGAGGAAGGTGATGTAGGGAGCAGCGGAGCTAGTCACTGGTGGCGAGGTGCTCCGGTGTGGTGGCACGGGGCGGCGGCCTCCTAGACGTCGGTGGAAGACTGGCGAGCTCCTAGACGCAGGTGGCGCGAGGCGGCGGCCTCTTTCGGCGCCATGGAGGAGGATGGGTGCATGGGCAAGAGGTCCATGTGAGAGCGTATGGAAAGTGAGAGGAGAGAGTGGTGGAGGTGGGATTTGGCGGAGGAGATGGGGATTCAGTTGAGGATATGGAGACTTCACCTACCTCGTACTTAGTAGTAGCGAGGGGTATAAAACCACGCTACTACTATCAACTTAGTAGTAGCGCGGGTTTATACCCCTCGCTACTACTATGGCATGTGTCGTGGGGCACGGTAGAGACCGCTTAGTAGTAGCGAGGGTTAAAACCCCGCGTTACTACTATCAACTTAGTAGTAGCGAGGGTTAAAAACCCGCGCTACT